AAAAATTGGTGATGCTATGGATTTCTTTGAGTAACAATTGAAATAAATAAATTCTATAATGAATGAAAATTAATTCGAGAAAAATTTTGGACCCAAATGATTTTCAAAAACCAAATTGAAATAAAACTGAATATTTTTATTAACATATAACTTACTGTCACCATAATTTGGAACTTGTGGCTGTGGTGATATAAAATCATCTTCAATAGTTTTATCACAATTTGATGGTGATGATGTTAATGGATCTGGTCTTGATGGATGATTATAAAATTTTCTTAACTTATCTTTGATTGTTGCATTATATAAAAGCCGATATTCTTTTTCAAAACGTTTCTGCTCAGGTTTTGTATTGTACCTTTAAATTTTATAATATAAATTATGTCGAATAAATTTTATTTTAATATTTCAAAATAAATTTAACAATTTAGAGTGTAAATCTTAAAATTAAATTTCTTACCAATTTTGTACTAATGCAGCTTCATTTTCATTATTACCAGCAATTATTGCTATACTTGCATGATGACCTATACGTTTAATATTTTGTACAGTTTCTGTTCTTATCGATCTACAAAGTATAAGTGTATGTTAATTCGTATGGCTGACGAACAGAATGTGAAATTTACAAGTATTACAACCGTTTACATATTTACATTTCACTATATTTACAATAAAAATAAAAAAACAATGCCGGTTCATAAAATTTTTAATTGTTATTAAAATATGATTCATATTTGTTATGAAAAGTTGTTGTTGTTCCAAGTTTATTCTACAATATAAAAATAATAATATTAAAATTAAAGAGTGATCACTTATACTAGAAAATATACTTTCATATATATATGTATTAATATTCAAAGTTTGGAAATGTTCAAAAAGCAAATAGTTCCAAACAAATGTGTTAAACAAATATGTGTATATATATACATATATGTATGTATATAGTTACAGATTTTAAGAGAAATTTAAAAAATAATATATGTATAAAATTTCAGTTTCAACAATGATTGTAGAAAATTCTCATTAACATTTTATTAAAATTTTTATTGTTGTACAGCTTCCGAGAATTTATCCGATTTATGAAGAAGTCCAGTTGACTATTGCAAGTGATGATTAATTTTAAAATTTGGACAGAATTATTTATGGCTGGTATAGTGTGAATTAGTACACTTTCTTTGAATTAACGTTATGATTCAACAAAGTGGTAAACAATAAATTCTAAAAAGTAAACAATATTACTGGTGTGGCAAACTGCGACTCCCGAGTCAAATGATAAATATACCCAAGTTCTATTTTAACCTCTGTGTTAATATATTTTAAAAAATTTTACTGAAAAAGTTAAATGGAAATTATTTAATATAAAAATTTAATTCCATTTTAGTTAAGAATGATATGAAAGTTAAGAATGATAACTTTTTAATACAATATAAATTTTGGCTCTCGAAAAATTTCAAATTTTTAAATATGGCTTGAATTAACGAAGAGCTTGACCACCCCTCATGTAATAAATTTTAATAAATCTCTGCGAATATGATATTTTTGCTCATCTTTTTAAATTTAACTAAAGTATTTTTGTTGTGACCAAGTCCAATAAAATCAAAATCATTAATTATATTTTTTGAAATTCTTTTTATGTTATAGGCATGTGTGTATCAATACTGAGTAGTCAGATACTAGAGAGCATTTACAACGTATTGCTTCTTCCTTTTTTACAAAGAACGACAAATAGCAGCCATAAAATCGTAATTTAAACTCTTGATGTCGTACCTAAAATAAATGGAAGTTTTAAAATGTATTAAAGTCTAGCTAAAGTATTTTATTAAGCATAGCGTATTTAATAGAGAATTCCTTCTTAATTTAGTAACACTTTTCAAGTAATCTGTTTATTAATTATGTAGTTTGTTTACATGTTATTTCTTCATGATTATACTGCATCTTCATTTAAAGCACATTGAACTAAAATAGAAACTTTTCTAATACATAAACTTGCCTATAGTTATAGAAAATCTTACATCTGAAAACGAATTCTTTAAATTATTTTTAAAAACTATTCCAATTTGATCAATTGTATTAAATGGTGTTGAATCTAGAATATTACCTTCACCAAAAAGAATACAATCTTCATGAAATTTAATTGTTTTACTCCAATATTCTTCATAATTTTCATCATTATTTTCAATCACTTCTCTCATTGGAATAATTTCAACTTGAAGACGATGCCATTCCCCATCATAAATCTGTAAAATTTATTGAATCATTATTTTCAAAATAACGATACAATTTTTATTAAATTTTCAATATTATTAGTATCATTTGTTGTATTTAATACTGCTCTTGTATATCCTGAATTTGATTTGGCAACATAAGTTAAAATTTTTCCTGAATTAATATTAACCGATTGAATTATTTCGGTATTAAGATTTTTAAATTTAAATAGACACATTTGACTCTCAATAAGTCCAATGTGGCGAAAAATGATTTCAAAATAAAAGTTTCTTAAATCTTCTTTAAGGGACAGAAAAACATCCAATTCGACGGTATTTTCGACCAAAAATTTCCAACAAATCAAATGGGGATGTTGCGTTTTTGTGTAATGTTGTTAAATCAGGGCATCTTTCTTCAGTCATACGGCTATAATTCGGTCTCGCGCATATAATTCGGTTCTAAAAAAATCTACATAAAGTTACAAATAAAAATTAAATATGTTTTTAAATAAATGTTCCATAACTAAGGTGATTTTCGAGTCCACAGCGCTTCCGATATAATTTTGACTTTATTATTTAGTTTTTGTTGGGGCATGAATACTTCAATTATTTGCAGAGAATGTTGTAATTTCACATAAAATTTAAGAAAAAATTTGTATTATTGTGGTTCTATGTTTTTCTTCAGGGTTACAAATACAATTAAAAAAATTTAAGACCGTTTTAGGTACATTCTTTTAAGACTATATTAGGAACATTCTTGTTATCCTTTTTGTGAGGAAATAGTTTTACATAGTGAGAAAGTAAGAATGTTATCAAATTGTTAGAAAATGTAATTTTGAAAAATATACAATAAAAAAAAAAAGAAATTGTAAAACTTCGTGCATATTTGTGCTTCTTAATCACAACCAATTTTTGTTATAAGCATGAACCATTATGTATACAAATGATTCGTCACTATAATAATTTTTAATAAGTTTCTATAGCTTGCTTACAGACTGAATTAGGTAGATATTTTATGCTAAAATTTAAAAATTAAAAATTTCATCTAAAACTTTGTTTAAAACCGATCGAAACCAATGTACTAATACAGCAAAATCAAAGAAAGGTGTTCTTTAGACAGAGGTTTGAAAAATAGGTCGAAAATACAGCTGTTTACCTTAATTCCAAATTCTCAGCTTTGTTAATTTGAATTTTTCCATTTTTTCTATAAAAATTTCAAACTCCGTGTACACTACATGTCTCCTTTTTGGTATTAAAAATGTTTTTGATTTGAAAAGAAATTTGTTTTTGATTCCAGATGAAAATTTCATAATATTCTGGTTATTGTTAAAAAAAGTTCATTTAAACATTTCGAAATTTTCATTGTTCTTGTTATTTTCAGCTTTATGGTAAACGCTCATTGGATTCATTTTTTTTTAATAAATTTCCTTAGACTCCTTAATGTGCATATTTAAGTAATTTTAGCCATTTTGTTATCCGTTTTAAAATTTTAATTCAATTCTAATTCCTTATATATTTTTCTCTTCATAATGTTTTGATTTTAAATTGACAGCAATTTTTCATTTTCATGAAATATGAAAAAAAAATTTATCTTGAGTTCGAATCCAAATTTTACCATTTTCTAAAAAAAAAAATTTTAATAATATTTTCATATTGAATTGAAAATGAAAAAAGAAAAATTTTATCCTCGTGAATATTTAAAAAATAAAAATATTTTTGAAAAAAATATATGTATACTATAATTTGGTGGTTTATATTAAGAGTTAGTTCCTATATATTTTGTGTGAATGTTGTTGAGTTTGTTAGTTGTTGTGTGAATGTGTTATTAGATTAAGTTAAAAGTTTTCAAAACATTTCCTAGACTTAAATTTTTAGAATTGCAGTACGACCGCGAGGCTTAAGGGTAGTCACTGGTAAATTTTTAGACCGGACTTAGGTCTGGATCCGTCAAAATTTTGACATTTTTTGTGTTTATACAAAAAAAATATGCTTGAGTTCAAATTCAATTTTTACCATTTTTATAAGAAAATTTTTTTTTTGTTTGCATGAAATAATAAATTTTCAAATATAATAAAGTTTCATGTAAATACACAGAATTTTCTTTCTAAGTATTTTACTATCTTTAAATATGTTTTGGGGAGCCTAAAACAACGGCTTTCTAATTGATATTCCTCTTCATTGTGATATTCTCAAATTTCGAAGTTGCGTGTGTTTAGAGTTTAAAAAATTCCAATTTTTAATTTTTAAAAAAATTTTTGTTAGTTTTTCAATTAATTGACGTAATTTTGCAATTTTCTCTAGTTTCTAAACTAAACTTTAATATGGTAAACTTGAAGCTGTTATGATTCGGGTGTACAAAGCAAAAAATCTCTATTTTTTACATCTTTTTTTTTGGTAGTTCTTCAGTTGTTGGATAATTTTCATTCATATATTGATTTACTGTATAAATTTTAATATGTTCTGTTGATACTTTATAATCATTTCTATATTCTAAATAAATCATTTTAATTGGATCAGTTTGTATAAAACCATTATCTGATAATGTATAACTTGTAATATTATCATGTACAATTTCTATGTAAACGAATAATGCTGGATAACTAACTTTAACACCAATACTAATACTTGAAATTGGAGCCTGATATTTGCTTGTATAAATTTCCACCTGTTTTTTTTTGGTTAAATGAAAAATTAAGCAATTTATTAACTAAGTATTATTCTACAATTATAAATTTTACCTCTATATTTGGATCTCTTAATCCGACTGCTTTTTTAATAGGTTGAGGAAAATTATATGTTTTAGCAATAGCCTCTACCATCTTTAAGAAGAATCTCATAAAAATATGTTTTTGGATCTAAATTTGATTCAAGTTGGAATGTATCAGCTGACAATACACTATTTGGTTTCTAAAATATAATTAATCAATTTTAAAATATTTTTTTGTGTTACATGTATTAAGGAAGAATAATTACAATAGAAATAGTTTTGGCTGCATATATTTTTGCTGGAGCTAATGTATTATATAAGAAAGTATTCCGAATAATATTAAAGGTTAATGGTGACTTTTCGATGGTATCTCTTATAACTGTTATTTCAACATCATTTGTACTTTTACTTGAATGTGCTATTATTGATATTGGTTTCATAAATTCTTTAGCCCAATAATGAAGAAACTAAAAATAATTAATATTAATTTTTTTTATTAAAATTTAAATAACAAAAGATTTAAATTATTGAATTGTAAAACTTAGTTAGTATATTTTATTTTTTTTACCTTATAATTTCCATTAAAATCAATACTAGACCATGATGGTGCTATCCAAACATCATTTAATTGCCAATATAATGCACCCATTGTATTATGTTTACTATTACGATTTTTACGAAGAATTTCAGTTTCTAATTTTGTAGCTAAAGCTTGTGTAAGTTGCCTAAGGTATATAATATTTTCAGCATAATCTGGTTGATCTGATGTTATTAATGGTAATTGTCGGAATATTAAACATGATCTTATTTCATTACCTAATGGTAAATGTTGACGATGTTCTAATAAATCATTGAAATTATCATGATTATACATAATTTTATCCCATGCAGATTTTTGTGGTAATGATTGAAAACAATATTCTGATGAAAATCTTGGTATTGGATATACGTCTGGATCAGACCAATCACTAAAATATTCATAGAAATGTACTAAAAAAAAAAAAACAATAATTACAAAAAATTTTTTATAACAATTGTGATAAATTATTTTTATTAAAATTTTGTAAAAAAGCGAGAGTAATAAAGTTTTCTAATAAAATCTTAAAAAATTGGTGATGCTATGGATTTCTTTGAGTAACAATTGAAATAAATAAATTCTATAATGAATGAAAATTAATTCGAGAAAAATTTTGGACCCAAATGATTTTCAAAAACCAAATTGAAATAAAACTGAATATTTTTATTAACATATAAGTTACTGTCACCATAATTTGGAACTTGTGGCTGTGGTGATATAAAATCATCTTCAATAGTTTTATCACAATTTGATGGTGATGATGTTAATGGATCTGGTCTTGATGGATGATTATAAAATTTTCTTAACTTATCGTTGATTGATGCATTATATAAAAGCCGATGTTCTTTTTCAAAACGTTTCTGCTCAGGTTTTGCATTGTACCTTTAAATTTTATAATATAAATTATGTCGAATAAATTTTATTTTAATATTTCAAAATAAATTTAACAACTTAAAGTGTAAATCTTAAAATTAAATTTCTTACCAATTTTGTACTAATGCAGCTTCATTTTCATTATTACCAGCAATTATTGCTATACTTGCATGATGACCTATACGTTTAATATTTTGTACAGTTTCTGTTTTTATCGATCTACAAAGTATAAGTGTATGTTAATTCGTATGGCTGACGAACAGAATGTGAAATTTACAAGTATTACAACCGTTTACATATTTACATTTCACTATATTTACAATAAAAATAATAAAACAATGCCGGTTCATAAAATTTTTAATTGTTATTAAAATATGATTCATATTTGTTATTAAAAGTTGTTGTTGTTCCGAGTTTATTCTACAATATAAAAATAATAATACTCGTATTAAAATTAAAGAGTGATCACTTATACTAGAAAATATACTTACATATATATATGTATTAATATTCAAAGTTTGGAAATGTTCAAAAAGCAAATTGTTCTAAATTGCTCAATAGAAGTTTCTGTTTACACCTGTGTTAAACAAATATGTGTATATATATACATACTCGTATATGTATATAGTTACAGATTTTAAGAGAAATTTAAAAAATAATATATGTATAAAATTTCAGTTTCAACAATGATTGTAGAAAATTCTCATTAACATTTTATTAAAATTTTTATTGTTGTGCAGCTTCCGAGAATTTATCCGATTTATGAAGAAGTCCAGTTGACTATTGCAAGTGATGATTAATTTCAAAATTTGGACAGAATTATTTATGGCTGGTATAGTGTGAATTAGTACACTTTCTTTGAATTAACGTTATGATTCAACAAAGTGGTAAACAATAAATTCTAAAAAGTAAACAATATTACTGGTGTGGAAAACTGCGACTCCCGAGTCAAATGATAAATATACCCAAGTTCTATTTTAGCCTCTGTGTTAATATATTTTAAAAAAATTTACTGAAAAAGTTAAATTAAATTACTGAAAAATAAATGGAAATTATTTAATATAAAAATTTAATTCCATTTTAGTTAAGAATGATATGAAAGTTAAGAATGATAACTTTTTAATACAATTTAAATTTTGGCTTTCGAAAAATTTCAAATTTTTAAATATGGCTTGAATTAACGAAGAGCTTGACCACCCCTCATATAATAAATTTTAATAAATCTCTGCGAATATGATATTTTTGCTTATCTTTTTAAATTTAACTAAAGTATTTTTGTTGTGACTAAGTCCAATAAATCCAAAATCATTAATTATATTTTTTGAAATTCTTTTTATATTATAGGCAAGTGTGTATCAATACTGAGTAGTCAGATACTAGAGAGCATTTACAACGTATTGTTTCTTCATTTTTGGCAAAGAACGACAAATAGCAGCCATAAAATCGTAATTTAAACTCTTGATGTCGTACCTAAAATAAATGCAAGTTTTAAAATGTATTAAAGTCTAGCTAAAGTATTTTATTAAGCATAGTGTATTTATTAGAGAATTCCTTCTTAATTTAGTAACACTTTTCAAGTAATCTGTTTATTAATTATGTAGTTTGTTTACATGTTATTTCTTCATAATTATACTGCATCCTCATTTATAGCACATTGAACTAAAATAGAAACTTTTTTAATACATAAACTTGCCTATAGTTATAGAAAATCTTACATCTGTAAACGAATTCTTTAAATTATTTTTAAAAAATATTCCAATTTGATCAATTGTATTAAATGGTGTTGAATCTAGAATATTACCTTCACCAAAAAGAATACAATCTTCATGAAATTTAATTGTTTTACTTCAATATTCTTCATAATTGTCATCATTATTTTCAATCACTTCTCTCATTGGAATAATTTCAACTTGAAGACGATGCCATTCCCCATCATAAATCTGTAAAATTTATTGAATTATTATTTTCAAAATAATGATAAAATTTTTATTAAATTTTCAAAATTATTAGTATCATTTGTTGTAATACTGCTTCTTGTATGTTATCCTGAATTTGATTTGGCAATATAAGTTAAACTTTTTCCTAAGTTAATGTTAATCGATTGAATTATTTCGGTATTAAGATTTTTAAATTATAATAGACACATTTGACTCTCAATAAGTCCAATGTGTCGAAAAATGATTTCAAAATAAAAGTTTCTTAAATCTTCTTTATTTGTAAATGATTTTGATATATGAAAATATCGTTCAATAGGATAATGAAAACGATAAAAATGATTATTTGTGTGAGGGACAGAAAAACATCCAATTCGACGGTATTTTCGACCAAAAATTTCCAACAAATCAAATGGGGATATTGCACTTTTGTGTAATGTTGTTAAATCAGGGCATCTTTCTTCAGTCATACGAATATAATTCGGTCTCGCGCATATAATTCGGTTCTACAAAAATCTACATAAAGTTACAAATAAAAATTAAATATGTTTTTAAATAAATGTTCCATAACTAAGGTGATTTTCGAGTCCACAGCGCTTCCGATATAATTTTGACTTTATTATTTAGTTTTTGTTGGGGCATGAATAGTTCAATTTTTTGCAGAGAATGTTGTAATTTCACATAAAATTTAAGAAAAAATTTTTATTATTGTGGTCCTATGTTTTGCTTCAGGGTTACAAATACAATTAAAAAACTTTAAGACCGTTTTAGGTACATTCTTTTAAGACTATATTAGGAACATTCTTGTTATCCTTTTTGTGAGGAAATAGTTTTATATAGTGAGAAAGTAAGAATGTTATCAAATTGTTAGAAAATGTAATTTTGAAAAATATACAATAAAAAAAAAAAAGAAATTGTAAAACTTCGTGCATATTTGTGCTTCTTAATCGCAACCAATTTTTGTTATAAGCATGAACCATTATGTATACAAATAATTCGTCACTATAATAATAATTTTCCATAAGTTTCTATAGCTTGCTTACAGACTGAATTAGGTAGATATTTTATGCTAAAATTTAAAAATTAAAAATTTCATCTAAAAATTTGTTTAAAACCGATCGAAACCAATGTACTAATACAGCAAAATCAAAGAAAGGTGTTCTTTAGACAGAGGTTTGAAAAATAGGTCGAAAATACAGCTGTTTACGTTTTTGGAATTAAATTCTCAGCTTTGTTAATTTGAATTTTTCCATTTTTTCTATAAAAAATTCAAACTCCGTGTACACTACATGTCTCCTTTTTCGTATTAAAAATGTTTTTGATTTGAAAAATTGATTCCAGATGAAAATTTCATAATATTCTGGTTATTGTTAAAAAAAGTTCATTTAAACATTTCGAAATTTTCATTGTTCTTGTTATTTTCAGCTTTATGGTAAACGCTCATTGGATTCATTTTTTCTTAATAAATTTCCTTAGACTCCTTAATGTGCATATTTAAGTAATTTTAGCCATTTTCTTATCCGTTTTAAAATTTTAATTCAATTCTAATTCCTTATATATTTTTCTCTTCATAATGTTTTGATTTTAAATTGACAGCAATTTTTCAAAAAAATTTGTCTTGAGTTCGAATCCAAATTTTACCATTTTCTAAAAAAAAAATTTTAATAATATTTTCATTTTGAATTGAAAATGAAAAAAGAAAAATTTTATCCTCGTGAATATTTAAAAAATAAAAATATTTTTGAAAAAAATATATGTATACTATAATTTGGTGGTTTATATTAAGAGTTAGTTCCTATATATTTTGTGTGAATGTTGTTGTGTTTGTTAGTTGTTGTGTGAATGTGTTATTAGATTAAGTTAAAAGTTTTCAAAACATTTCCTAGACTTAGATTTTTAGAATTGCAGTACGACCGCGAGGCTTAAGGGTAGTCACTGGTAAATTTTTAGACCGGACTTAGGTCTGGATCCGTCAAAATTTTGACATTTTTTGTGTTTATACAAAAAAAATATGCTTGAGTTCAAATTCAATTTTTACCATTTTTATAAGAAAATTTTTTTTTTGTTTGCATGAAATAATAAATTTTAAAATATAATAAAGTTTCATGTAAATACACAGAATTTTCTTTCTAAGTACTTTACTATCTTTAAATATGTTTTGGGGAGCCTAAAACAACGGCTTTCTAATTGATATTCCTCTTCATTGTGATATTCTGAAATTTCGAAGTTGCGTGTGTTTAGAGTTTGAAAAATTCCAATTTTTAATTTTTAAAAAAATTTTTGTTAGTTTTTCAATTAATTGACGTAATTTTGCAATTTTCTCTAGTTTCTAAACTAAACTTTAATATGGTAAACTTCAAGCTGTTATGATTCGGGTGTTATTCACAAAATTAACGTATTTAGTATTTTTTTATAAATATATTTATTTGCGTACTATGTACGTTTGGATTGCAGATTGAATCGAATTTTTAATATAATGAATTGCTACATTAAGCAATAAAATTTTTATTTGAGCAATCAAATCCAATATCAATTTTACGCTAATAAAGGTAATTTAAAAATACAAGAGATTATAATAATTAAAAGTTTCGGATAAACAATTTAAAAAAGTACAATAGGAATTTTTTGGATACATAATTTTAATCATTAAAAAAGAAATTTTCTCATAAGCAAAAAATCTCTATTTTTTACATCTTTCTGGTAGTTCTTCAGTTTTTGGATAATTTTCATTCATATATTGATTTACTGTATAAATTTTAATATGTTCTGTTGATGTTTTATAATCATTTCTATATTCTAAATAAATCATTTTAATTGGATCAGTTTGTATAAAACCATTATCTGATAATGTATAACTTGTAATATTATCATGTACAATTTCTATGTAAACGAATAATGCTGGATAACTAACTTTAACAACAATACTAATACTTGAAATTGGAGCCTGATATTTGCTTGTATAAATTTCCACCTGTTTTTTTTGGTTAAATGAAAAATTAAGCAATTTATTAACTAAGTATTATTCTAAAATTATAAATTTTACCTCTATATTTGGATCTCTTAATCCGACTGCTTTTTTAATAGGTTGAGGAAAATGATATGTTTTAGCAATAGTATCACCTCTACTATCTTTAAGAAGAATCTCATAAAAATATGTTTTTGGATCTAAATTTGATTCAAATTGGAATGTATCAGCTGACAATACACTATTTGGTTTCTAAAATATAATTAATCAATTTTAAAATATTTTTTTGTGTTACATGTATTAAGGAAGAGTAATTACAATAGAAATAGTTTTAGCTGCATATATTTTTGCTGGAGATAATGTATTATATAAGAAAGTATTCCGAATAATATTAAAGGTTAATGGTGACTTTTCGATGGTATCTCTTATAACTGTTATTTCAACATCATTTGTACTTTTATTTGAATGTGCTATTATTGATATTGGTTTCATAAATTCTTTAGCCCAATAATGAAGAATCTAAAAATAATTAATATTAATTTTTTTTTATTAAAATTTATATAACAAAAGATTTAAATTATTGAATTGTAAAACTTAGTTAGTATATTTTATTTTTTTTACCTTATAATTTCCATTAAAATCAATACTAGACCATGATGGTGCTATCCAAACATCATTTAATTGGCAATATAATGCACCCATTGTATTATGTTTACTATTACGATTTTTACGAAGAATTTCAGTTTCTAATTTTGTAGCTAAAGCTTGTGTAAGTTGACTAAAGTATATAATATTTTCAGCATAATCTGGTTGATCTGATGTTATTAATGGTAATTTTCGGAATATTAAACATGATCTTATTTCATTACCAAATGGTAAATGTGGACAATGTTCTAATAAATCATTGAAATTATCATGATTATACATAATTCTATCTCATGCAGATTTTTGTGGTAATGATTGAAAACCATATTCTGATGAAAATCTTGGTATTGGATATACGTCTGGATCAGACCAATCACGAAAATATTCATAGAAATGTACTAAAAAAAAACAATAATTACAAAAAATTTTTTATAACAATTGTGATAAATTATTTTTATTAAAATTTTTTTGGAAAATTTTAAGGTTACATCAGAATCATATTTTTTTCTAAATAATAATGGAGATCGAATATTATTGTAAAAGAGCGAGAGTAATAAAGTTTTCTAATAAAATCTTAAAAAATTTGTGATGCTATGGATTTCTTTGAGTAACAATATTCTAAAATGAATGAAAATTAATTCGAGAAAAATTTTGGACCCAAAAGATTTTCAAAAACCAAATTGAAATAAAACTGAATATTTTTATTAACATATAACTTACTGTCACCATAATTTGGATCTTGTGGCTGTGGTGATATAAAATCATCTTCAATAGTTTTATCACAATTTGATGGTGATGATGTTAATGGATCTGGTCTTGATGGATGATTATAAAATTTTCTTAACTTATCGTTGATTGTTGCATTATATAAAAGCCGATATTCTTTTTCAAAACGTTTCTGCTCAGATTTTGTATTGTACCTTTAAATTTTATAATATAAATTATGTCGAATAAATTTTATTTTAATATTTCAAAATAAATTTAACAATTTAAAGTGTTAAATTAAAATTAAATTTCTTACCAATTTTGTACTAATGCAGCTTCATTTTCATTATTACCAGCAATTATTGCTATACTTGCATGATGACCTATACGTTTAATATTTTGTACAGTTTCTGTTCTTATCGATCTACAAAGTATAAGTGTATGTTAATTCGTATGGCTGACGAACAGAATGTGAAATTTACAAGTATTACAACCGTTTACATATTTACATTTCACTATATTTACAATAAAAATAAAAAAACAATGCCGGTTCATAAAATTTTTAATTGTTATTAAAATATGATTCATATTTGTTATTAAAAGTTGTTGTTGTTCCAAGTTTATTCTACAATATAAAAATAATAATATTAAAATTAAAGACTGATCACTTATACTAGAAAATATACTTACTTACATATATGTATTAATATTCAAAGTTTGGAAATGTTCAAAAAGCATATTGTTCTAAATTGCTCAATAGAAGTTTCTGTTTACGCCTGTGTTAAACAAATATGTGTATATATATACATACTCGTATATGTATATAGTTACAGATTTTAAGAGAAATTTAAAAAATAATATATGTATAAAATTTCAGTTTCAACAATGATTGTAGAAAATTCTCATTAACATTTTATTAAAATTTTTATTGTTGTGCAGCTTCCAAAAATTAATCCGATTTATGAAGAAGTCCAGTTGACTATTGCAAGTGATGATTAATTTTAAAATTTGGACAGAATTATTTATGGCTGGTATAGTGTGAATTAGTACACTTTCTTTGAATTAACGTTATGATTCAACAAAGTGGTAAACAATAAATTCTAATAAAGTTGGGTCAAACCAATGGTTTGTATTGTAGCACTTTTCCCTTCAGCAAGTGAAAATTCTGCTTTTAAATACAGTCTATGTATACATCACACATTCTAAAAATTATTTTCATTCATATACAAAACTCTTTCTAGGATTGCATATATTTAGGATGATACATACATGCAGTCTTTGAAATAAAGCAAAAATTAAAATAAAGAGGGGTTAACATAATGCTCGATTTTAAGGTTTAATTATGTGAGTTAAGAAAAATAATTATATTTTTTAATGTCATGGAATTTACCGTTAGCTTTTTGTGTTTATAGAAATTTGAAAAAGCTTGTGGTTTCGGAAATATAAGGTGTCAAAAATTCAAATTTTACAAATTTCAAGAGGCAATAACTTGAGAGGGGAAGGAGATGGAAAAAAATTTTCTTCTAACGAAATGAACTATTTGTTAATGTCTAAAAGCCCATAAAGTTTCAAGCTTCTACAGGCTGGCGTCTAGAAAATAAACGACATCAAAAATTTGAAAAAAACGGACTTTAGATAACGGTAAATTTGAGCGGCCATTTTGTTTTTCCAAAGTTAACCTTTAGTATACCCCGCTAGGGGAAGCAAGCCACTGCCTTTCTGCGTTTGCAAAATTTGAAAAATCCTTATGGTTTCATTGCACTAAATAGTTAAAGAATGGCATTTTTAGGGTTTCGGGGGGGTATAACTTCTAAAGGGGCGGAGATAGATAAAAATTTTGTTCTACGAAAATAAGTTTCTAGTAAAAATCTATGTACGTACAAAATTTCAGCTTTCTATCTTCAAGGGTGTAGAAGTTTTGTAAACAGACACACAGACAGACGGACGGACGGACGGACGGACGGACGGACGGACAGAGTGAAACTAATAAGCACTTTTTTTCAAAATTTTTTTGGAAAAGTGCTAAAAAGTAAACAATATTACTGGTGTGGCAAACTGCGACTCCCGAGTCAAATGATAAATATACCCAAGTTCTATTTTAACTTCTGTGTTAATATATTTTAAAAAATTTTACTGAAAATGTTAAATTAAGTTACTGAAAAATAAATGGAAATTATTTAATATAAAAACTTAATTCCATTTTAGTTAAGAATGATATGAAAGTTAAGAATGATAACTTTTTAATACAATTTAAATTTTGGCTCTCGAAAAATTTCAAATTTTTAAATATGGCTTGAATTAACGAAGAGCTTGACCACCCCTCATATAATAAATTTTAATAAATCTCTGCGAATATGATATTTTTGCTTATCTTTTTAAATTTAACTAAAGTATTTTTGTTGTGACCAAGTCCAATAAATCCAAAATTAATTATATTTTTTGAAATTCTTTTTATATTATAGGCATGTGTGTATCAATACTGAGTAGTCAGATACTAGAGAGCATTTACAACGTATTGCTTCTTAATTTTTGGCAAAGAACGACAAATAACAGCCATAAAATCGTAATTTAAACTCTTGATGTCGTACCTAAAGTGAGCGTACCTAAAATAAATGCAAGTTTTAAAATGTATTAAAGTCTAGCTAAAGAATTTTATTAAGCATAGCGTATTTAATAGAGAATTCCTTCTTAATTTAGTAACACTTTTCAAGTAATCTGTTTATTAATTATGTAGTTTTTTTACATGTTATTTCTTCATAATTATACTGCATCCTCATTTATAGCACATTGAACTAAAATAGAAACTTTTCTAATACATAAACTTGCCTATAGTTATAGAAAATCTTACATCTGTAAACGAATTCTTTAAATTTTTTTTAAAAAATATTCCAATTTGATCAATTGTATTAAATGGTGTTGAATCTAGAATATTACCTTCACCAAAAAGAATACAATCTTCATGAAATTTAATTGTTTTACTCCAATATTCTTCATAATTTTCATTATTATTTTCAATCACTTCTCTCATTGGAATAATTTCAACTTGAAGACGATGCCATTCCCCATCATAAATCTGTAAAATTTATTGAATTATTATTTTCAAAATAATGATAAAATTTTTATTAAATTTTCAAAATTATTAGTATCATTTGTTGTAATACTGCTCTTGTATGTTTATATCCTGAATTTGATTTGGCAATATAAGTTAAAATTTTTCCTAAATTAATGTTAATCGATTGAATTATTTCGGTATTAAGATTTTTAAATTATAATAGACACATTTGACTCTCAATAAGTCCAATGTGGCGAAAAATGATTTCAAAATAAAAGTTTCTTAAATCTTCTTTATTTGTAAATGATTTTGGTATATGAAAATATCGTTCAATAGGGTAATGAAAACGATAAAAATGATTATTTGTATGAGGGACAGAAAAACATCCAATTCGACGGTATTTTCGACCAAAAATTTCCAACAAATCAAATGGGGATGTTGCGTTTTTGTGTAATGTTGTTAAATCAGGGCATCTTTCTTCAGTTATACGGCTATAATTCGGTCTCGCGCATATAATTCGGTTCTAAAAAAATCTACATAAAGTTACAAATAAAAATTAAATATGTTTTAAAATAAATGTTCCATAACTAAGGTGATTTTCGAGTCCACAGCGCTTCCGATATAATTTTGACTTTATTATTTAGTTTTTGTTGGGGCATGAATAGTTCAACTTTTTGCAGAGAATGTTGTAATTTCATTGTGTTTCAGAGAATGTTCAATTTATTATTGTGGTCCTATGTTTTTCTTCAGGGTTACAAATACAATTAAAAAAAATTAAGACCGTTTTAGGTACATTCTTTTAAGACTATATTAGGAACATTCTTGTTATCCTTTTTGTGAGGAAATAGTTTTATATAGTGAGAAAGTAAGAATGTTATCAAATTGTTAGAAAATGTAATTTTAAAAAATATACAATAAAAAAAAAAGAAATTGTAAAACTTCGTACATATTTGTGCTTCTTAATCACAATCAATTTTTGTTATAAGCATGAGCCATTATGTATACAAATAATTCGTCACTATAATAATAATTTTCCATAAGTTTCTATAGCTTGCTTACAGACTGAACTAGGTAGATATTTTATGCTAAAATTTAAAAATTAAAAATTTCATCTAAAAATTTGTTTAAAACCGATCGAAACCAATGTACTAATACAGCAAAATCAAAGAAAGGTATTCTTTAGACAGAGGTTTGAAAAATAGGTCGAAAATACAGCTGTTTACCTTAATTCCAAACTCTCAGCTTTGTTAATTTGAATTTTTCCATTTTTTCTATAAAAATTTCAAACTCCGTGTGCACTACATGTCTCCTTTTTGGTATTAAAAATGTTTTTGATTTGGAAATTGATTCCAGATGATAATTTCATAATATTCTGGTTATTGTTAAAAAAACTTCATTTAAACATTTCGAAATTTTCATTGTTCTTGTTATTTTCAGCTTTATGGTAAACGCTCATTGGATTCATTTTTTCTTAATAAATTTCCTTAGACTCCTTAATGTGCATATTTAAGTAATTTTAGCCATTTTCTTATCCGTTTTAAAATTTTAATTCAATTCTAATTCCTTATATATTTTTCTCTTCATAATGTTTTGATTTTAAATTGACAGCAATTTTTCAAAAAAATTTGTCTTGAGTTCGAATCCAAATTTTACCATTTTCTAAAAAAAAAATTTTAATAATATTTTCATTTTGAATTGAAAATGAAAAAAGAAAAATTTTATCCTCGTGAATATTTAAAAAATAAAAATATTTTTGAAAAAAATATATGTATACTATAATTTGGTGGTTTATATTAAGAGTTAGTTCCTATATATTTTGTGTGAATGTTGTTGAGTTTGTTAGTTGTTGTGTGAATGTGTTATTAGATTAAGTTAAAAGTTTTCAAAACATTTCCTAGACTTAAATTTTTAGAATTGCAGTACGACCGCGAGGCTTAAGGGTAGTCACTGGTAAATTTTTAGACCGGACTTAGGTCTGGATCCGTCAAAATTTTGACATTTTTTGTGTTTATACAAAAAAAATATGCTTGAGTTCAAATTCAATTTTTACCATTTTTATAAGAAAATTTTTTTTTTGTTTGCATGAAATAATAAATTTTAAAATATAATAAAGTTTCATGTAAATACAAAGAATTTTCTTTCTAAGTACTTTACTATCTTTAAATATGTTTTGGGGAGCCTAAAACAACGGCTTTCTAATTGATATTCCTCTTCATGGTGATATTTTCAAATTTCGAAGTTGAGTGTGTTTAGAGTTTGAAAAATTTGAATTTTTAATTTTTAAAAAAATTTTTGTTAGTTTTTCAATTAATTGACGTAATTTTGCAATTTTCTCTAGTTTCTAAACTAAACTTTAATATGGTAAACTTCAAGCTGTTATGATTCGGGTGTTATTCAGAAAATTAACGTATTTAGTATTTTTTTATAAATATATTTATTTACGTACTATGTACGTTTGGATTGCAGATTGAATCGAATTTTTAATATAATGAATTGCTACATTAAGCAATAAAATTTTTATTTGAGCAATCAAATCCAATATCAATTTTACGCTAATAAAGGTAATTTAAAAATACAAGAGATTATAATAATTAAAAGTTTCGGATACACAATTTAAAAAAGTACAATAGGAATTTTTTGGATACATAATTTTAATCATTAAAAAAGAAATTTTCTCATAATAAATATTTAATACAATTACGTACAAAGCAAAAAATCTCTATTTTTTTACATCTTTCTGGTAGTTCTTCAGTTGTTGGATAATTTTCATTCATATATTGGTTTACTGTATAAATTTTAATATGTTCTGTTGATGTTTTATAATCATTTCTATATTCTAAATTTTTTTTTTTTTTTCTTCTTCACTCCTATAAGGAGCATAGGGCTAGTTTATGATATCTATCATGTCCTAGTTTCTATAGTCATAGAGAGGTAGCTAGTAGGTGACTAGCCTACCGTATTTTTTTTTATTTATATTAAATATTTCCGTTTATTAATATTTTACTGCTTATTTTTCTTAGTCTTTTTAGTACTCGTATCGCATATTATGAATATTTGAAAATTACTTGTATAAATTTATTAATATTGCATATTAAGTTATATAATATTGAATATAACTTTTATACCTGACCGGGGTTTGAACCCGAGACCCTTCGGTTAAAGGGCCGGTGCCATAACCACTGCACCAATGGTCAGATTCTACATTCTAAATAAATCATTTTAATTGGATCAGTTTGTATAAAACCATTATCTGATAATGTATAACTTGTAATATTATCATGTACAATTTCTATGTAAACGAATAATGCTGGATAACTAACTTTAACACCAATACTAATACTTGAAATTGGAGCCTGATATTTGCTTGTATAAATTTCCACCTGTTTTTTTTTTGGTTAAACGAAAAATTAAGTAATTTATTAACTAAGTATTATTCTAAAATTATAAATTTTACCTCTATATTTGGATCTCTTAATCCGACTGCTTTTTTAATAGGTTGAGGAAAATGATATGTTTTAGCAATAGTATCTTTAAGAAGAATACCATCTTTAAGAAGAATCTCATAAAAATATGTTTTTGGATCTAAATTTGATTCAAGTTGGAATGTATCAGCTGACAATACACTATCTGGTTTCTAAAATATAATTAATCAATTTTAAAATATTTTTTTGTGTTACATGTATTAAGGAAGAGTAATTACAATAGAAATAGTTTTGGCTGCATATATTTTTGCTGGAGCTAATGTATTATATAAGAAAGTATTCCGAATAATATTAAAGGTTAATGGTGACTTTTCGATGGTATCTCTTATAACTGTTATTTCAACATCATTTGTACTTTTATTTGAATGTGCTATTATTGATATTGGTTTCATAAATTCTTTAGCCCAATAATGAAGAAACTAAAAATAATTAATATTAATTTTTTTTATTAAAACTATTATATTTTATTTTTTTTACCTTATAATTTCCATTAAAATCAATACAAGACCATGATGGTGCTATCCAAACATCATTTAACTGCCAATATAATGCGCCCATTGTATTATGTTTACTATTACGATTTTTACGAAGAATTTCAGTTTCTAATTTTGTAGCTAAAGCTTGTGTAAGCTGACTAAAGTATATAATATTTTCAGCATAATCTGGTTGATCTGATGTTATTAATGGTAATTGTCGGAATATTAAACATGATCTTATTTCATTACCAAATGGTAAATGTGGACGATGTTCTAATAAATCATTGAAATTATCATGATTATACATAATTTTATCCCATGCAGATTTTTGTGGTAATGATTGAAAACCATATTCTGAGGAAAATCTTGGTATTGGATATACGTCTGGATCAGACCAATCACGAAAATATTCATAGAAATGTACTAAAAAAAAACAATAATTACAAAAAATTTTTTATAACAATTGTGATAAATTATTTTTATTAAAATTTTTTTAGAAAATTTTAAGGTTACATCAGAATCATATTTTTTTCTAAATAATAATGGAGATCGAATATTATTGTAAAAGAGCGAGAGTAATAAAGTTTTCTAATAAAATCTTAAAAAATTGGTGATGCTATGGATTTCTTTGAGTAACAATTGAAATAAATAAATTCTAAAATGAATGAAAATTAATTCGAGAAAAATTTTGGACCCAAATGATTTTCAAAAACCAAATTGAAATAAAACTGAATATTTTTATTAACATATACCTTACTGTCACCATAATTTGGATCTTGTGGCTGTGATATAAAATCGTCTTCAATAGTTTTATCACCATTTGATGGTGATGATGTTAATGTTTCTGGTCTTGATGGATGATTATAAAATTTTCTTAACTTATCGTTGATTGTTGCATTATATAAAAGCCGATATTCTTTTTCAAAACGTTTCTGCTCAGGTTTTGTATTGTACCTTTAAATTTTATAATATAAATTATGTCGAATAAATTTTATTTTAATATTTCAAAATAAATTTAACAATTTAAAGTGTAAATCTTAAAATTAAATTTCTTACCAATTTTGTACTAATGCAGCTTCATTTTCATTATTACCAGCAATTATTGCTATACTTGCATGATGACCTATACGTTTAATATTTTGTACAGTTTCTGTTTTTATCGATCTACAAAGTATAAGTGTATGTTAATTCGTATGGCTGACGAACAGAATGTGAAATTTACAAGTATTACAACCGTTTACATATTTACATTTCACTATATTTACAATAAAAATAAAAAAACAATGCCGGTTCATAAAATTTTTAATTGTTATTAAAATATGATTCATATTTGTTATTAAAAGTTGTTGTTGTTCCAAGTTTATTCTACAATATAAAAATAATAGTATTAAAATTAAAGAGTGATCACTTATACTAGAAAATATACTTACATATATATATGTATTAATATTCAAAGTTTGGAAATGTTCAAAAAGCAAATAGTTCCAAATTGCTCAATAGAAGTTTCTGTTTACACCTGTGTTAAACAAATATGTGTATATATATACATATATGTATGTATATAGTTACAGATTTTAAGAGAAATTTAAAAAATAATATATGTATAAAATTTCAGTTTCAACAATGATTGTAGAAAATTCTCATTAACATTTTATTAAAATTTTTATTGTTGTGCAGCTTCCGAGAATTTATCCGATTTATGAAGAAGTCCAGTTGACTATTGCAAGTGATGATTAATTTCAAAATTTGGACAGAATTATTTATGGCTGGTATAGTGTGAATTAGTACACTTTCTTTGAATTAACGTTATGATTCAACAAAGTGGTAAACAATAAATTCTAAAAAGTAAACAATATTAATGGTGTGGCAAACTGCGACTCCCGAGTCAAATGATAAATATACCCAAGTTCTATTTTAACCTCTGTGTTAATATATTTTAAAAAATTTTACTGAAAAAGTTAAATTAAGCTACTGAAAAGTAAATGGAAATTATTTAATATAAAAATTTAACTCCATTTTAGTTAAGAATGATATGAAAGTTAAGAATGATAACTTTTTAATACAATTTAAATTTTGGCTCTCGAAAAATTTCAAATTTTTAAATATGGCTTGAATTAACGAAGAGCTTGACCACCCCTCATATAATAAATTTTAATAAATCTCTGCGAATATGATACGAGTATTTTTGCTTATCTTTTTAAATTTAACTAAAGTATTTTTGTTGTGACCAAGTCCAATAAATCCAAAATCATTAATTATATTTTTTGAAATTCTTTTTATATTATAGGCAAGTGTGTATCAATACTGAGTAGTCAGATACTAGAGAGCATTTACAATGTATTGTTTCTTCATTTTTGTCAAAGAACGACAAATAGCAGCCATAAAATCGTAATTTAAACTCTTGATGTCGTACCTAAAGTGAGCGTACCTAAAATAAATGCAAGTTTAAAAATGTATTAAAGTCTAGCTAAAGTATTTTATTAAGCATAGTGTATTTATTAGAGAATTCCTTCTTAATTTAGTAACACTTTTCAAGTAATCTGTTTATTAATTATGTAGTTTGTTTACATGTTATTTCTTCATAATTATACTGCATCCTCATTTATAGCACATTGAACTAAAATAGAAACTTTTCTAATACATAAACTTGCCTATAGTTATAGAAAATCTTACATCTGTAAACGAATTCTTTAAATTATTTTTAAAAAATATTCCAATTTGATCAATTGTATTAAATGGTGTTGAATCTAGAATATTACCTTCACCAAAAAGAATACAATCTTCGTGAAATTTAATTGTTTTACTTCAATATTCTTCATAATTGTCATCATTATTTTCAATCACTTCTCTCATTGGAATAATTTCAACTTGAAGACGATGCCATTCCCCATCATAAATCTGTAAAATTTATTGAATTATTATTTTCAAAATAATGATAAAATTTTTATTAAATTTTCAAAATTATTAGTATCATTTGTTGTAATACTGCTCTTGTATGTTTATATCCTGAATTTGATTTGGCAATATAAGTTAAAATTTTTCCTAAATTAATGTTAATCGATTGAATTATTTCGGTATTAAGATTTTTAAATTATAATAGACACATTTGACTCTCAATAAGTCCAATGTGTCGAAAAATGATTTCAAAATAAAAGTTTCTTAAATCTTCTTTATTTGTAAATGATTTTGGTATATGAAAATATCGTTCAATAGGATAATGAAAACGATAAAAATGATTATTTGTGTGAGGGACAGAAAAACATCCAATTCGACGGTATTTTCGACCAAAAATTTCCAATAAATCAAATGGGGATATTGCACTTTTGTGTAATGTTGTTAAATCAGGGCATCTTTCTTCAGTCATACGGCTATAATTCGGTCTCGCGCATATAATTCGGTTCTAAAAAAATCTACATAAAGTTACAAATAAAAATTAAATATGTTTTAAAATAAATGTTCCATAACTAAGGTGATTTTCGAGTCCACAGCGCTTCCGATATAATTTTGACTTTATTATTTAGTTTTTGTTGGGGCATGAATAGTTCAATTTTTTGCAGAGAATGTTGTAATTTCACATAAAATTTAAGAAAAAATTTTTATTATTGTGGTCCTATGTTTTTCTTCAGGGTTACAAATACAATTAAAAAAATTTAAGACCGTTTTAGGTACATTCTTTTAAGACTATGTTAGGAACATTCTTGTTATCCTTTTTGTGAGGAAATAGTTTTATATAGTGAGAAAGTAAGAATGTTATCAAATTGTTAGAAAATGTAATTTTGAAAAATATACAATAAAAAAAAAAAAAGAAATTGTAAAACTTCGTGCATATTTGTGCTTCTTAATCACAATCAATTTTTGTTATAAGCATGAGCCATTATGTATACAAATAATTCGTCACTATAATAATAATTTTCCATAAGTTTCTATAGCTTGCTTACAGACTGAACTAGGTAGATATTTTATGCTAAAATTTAAAAATTAAAAATTTCATCTAAAAATTTGTTTAAAACCGATCGAAACCAATGTACTAATACAGCAAAATCAAAGAAAGGTATTCTTTAGACAGAGGTTTGAAAAATAGGTCGAAAATACAGCTGTTTACCTTAATTCCAAATTCTCAGCTTTGTTAATTTGAATTTTTCCATTTTTTCTATAAAAATTTCAAACTCCGTGTACATTACATGTCTCCTTTTAGGTATTAAAAATGTTTTTGATTTGAAAATTGATTCCAGATGAAAATTTCATAATATTCTGGTTATTGTTAAAAAAAGTTCATTTAAACATTTCGAAATTTTCATTGTCTTGTTATTTTCAGCTTTATGGTAAACGCTAATTGGATTAATTTTTTCTTAATAAATTTCCTTAGACTCCTTAATGTGCATATTTAAGTAATTTTAGAAATTTTGTTATCCGTTTTAAAATTTTAATTCAATTCTAATTCCTTATATATTTTTCTCTTCATAATGTTTTGATTTTAAATTGACAGCAATTTTTCAAAAAAATTTGTCTTGAGTTCGAATCCAAATTTTACCATTTTCTAAAAAAAAAAATTTTAATAATATTTTCATTTTGAATTGAAAATGAAAAAAGAAAAATTTTATCCTCGTGAATATTTAAAAAATAAAAATATTTTTGAAAAAAATATATGTATAATATAATTTGGTGGTTTATATTAAGAGTTAGTTCCTATATATTTTGTGTGAATGTTGTTGAGTTTGTTAGTTGTTGTGTGAATGTGTTATTAGATTAAGTTAAAAGTTTTCAAAACATTTCCTAGACTTAGATTTTTAGAATTGCAGTACGACCGCGAGGCTTAAGGGTAGTCACTGGTAAATTTTTAGACCGGACTTAGGTCTGGATCCGTCAAAATTTTGACATTTTTTGTGTTTATACAAAAAAAATATGCTTGAGTTCAAATTCAATTTTTACCATTTTTATAAGAAAATTTTTTTTTTGTTTGCATGAAATAATAAATTTTAAAATATAATAAAGTTTCATGTAAATACACAGAATTTTCTTTCTAAGTACTTTACTATCTAACATTAAAAAGAACACCACAGGTAGGTAAAACTTTTTTATGATGACAATGTTTACAGCTCAACAAGTTCCGAGCTATTGGAGCTTAAAATCAACTTGTTTAATTTTTGAAACTTTAAGTATGCAAAGTATAAGCATGTTTAAATATGTTTTGGGGAGCCTAAAACAACGGCTTTCTAATTGATATTCCTCTTCATTGTGATATTCTCAAATTTCGAAGTTGCGTGTGTTTAGAGTTTGAAAAATTCCAATTTTTAATTTTTAAAAAAATTTTTGTTAGTTTTTCAATTAATTGACGTAATTTTGCAATTTTCTCTAGTTTCTAAACTAAACTTTAATATGGTAAACTTCAAGCTGTTATGATTCGTGTGTTATTCACAAAATTAACGTATTTAGTATTTTTTTATAAATATATTTATTTACGTACTATGTACGTTTGGATTGCAGATTGAATCGAATTTTTAATATAATGAATTACTACATTAAGCAATAAAATTTTTATTTGAGCAATCAAATCCAATATCAATTTTACGCTAATAAAGGTAATTTAAAAATACAAGAGATTATAATAATTAAAAGTTTCGGAAAAAGTACAATAGGAATTTTTTGGATACATAATTTTAATCATTAAAAAAGAAATTTTCTCATAATAAATATTTAATACAATTTTATACAAAGCAAAAAATCTCTATTTTTTACATCTTTCTGGTAGTTCTTCAGTTGTTGGATAATTTTCATTCATATATTGATTTACTGTATAAATTTTAATATGTTCTGTTGATACTTTATAATCATTTCTACATTCTAAATAAATCATTTTAATTGGATCAGTTTGTATAAAACCATTATCTGATAATGTACGAGTATAACTTGTAATATTATCATATACAATTTCTATGTAAACGAATAATGCTGGATAACTAACTTTAACACCAATACTAATACTTGAAATTGGAGCCTGATATTTGCTTGTATAAATTTCCACCTGTTTTTTTTTGGTTAAATGAAAAATTAAATTATTTATTAACTACAATATTTTCCTGAAATTTGGAAGGTGGCTGAGGTCCTGATGGTGCCAAAACCAGGTAAACCGCAAGTTGAAGTAAAATCCTACAGACCAATATCACTTCTACCAATCATATCTAAGGTCTTGGAAAAGCTACTGTTAAAACGAATGATGCCAACAATAGAAGCGGAACATTTAATCCCAGATCATCAATTTGGATTTAGAAGTAACCATTCAACTATTGATCAGGTCCACAGGATCACGAACGTAATTGAAAACTCGTTAGAGAGAAGAGAAATATGCTCAGCTGTTTTCCTAGATGTCGCTAAGGCATTTGACAGGGTGTGGCATGAGGGCCTGATCTCCAAGCTACAGGTTTTCCCGACAAAAATAAGTGAAGTCCTGAAGTCATATCTAAGCCATAGAACGTTTAGAGTGAGGCAAGGTGATGAATACTCTGGACTTAGGAGCATAGAAGCAGGTGTGCCCCAAGGGAGCGTTCTGGGTCCGGTGCTATATTTGCTATTTACACGAGATATTCCTCAGGCGATATTTTCCCATACCGCAACTTATGCAGATGATACAGCAATCTTAGCCCATGGTAATACCATCCAAGAAAGCACGGAGAAATTACAAAAATCATTAGATGAAGTTATGTTATGGATGAAAAAATGGCGAATTACAATTAACGAGGACAAGTCGGTTCATGTCAACTTTACTTATAAGCACATAAATAACAATATTCCAGTACTATTAAATAATAAAATTGTGCCCTATGCCAATGAAGCAAAATACCTAGGGATGACACTAGATGCAAAACTACGATGGAAAGAACACGTAAAAAAGAAAAAACAGGAGTTAAACATCACAATCGCTAAATTGAATTGGTTATTGGGGAGATACTCAGAAGTGAGTGTCCATAATAAATTATTAATATACAAACAAGCAATTAAACCAATTTGGACATATGGTATACAACTTTGGGGGTGTACAAAGAAAACGAACCAGCAAATCATTCAAGTCATTCAGAACAGAGTACTGAGAGATATAGTAAAGGCACCTTGGTATGTAAGAAATTCTACCATACATAGGGATCTCAACATTAGCACGGTCGAAGAAGAAATAAAAAGACACTCCATCAAACATGTAAATAGAATACAGCAGCATCACAACACTGAAATGAGACAAATAATGGTCAACGAAGCTCCTAGACGACTCAATAGAAAAAGACCTACTGATATACACCTGGGTTGAGAGAGAATTCATATGATCCTTGGGGTTGCCAACAATGGATGGTTTCCCCCACACTTAAATAAAGAGATAGAAGAAAATTGCTGGATAGGTCAACTTGACTTAGTTGCAATAAATTGAAGAATTTGTTAAAAAAAAAAAAAAAAAAAAAATTTATTAACTAAGTATTATTCTAAAATTATAAATTTTATAATAAATAGGTTGAGGAAAATGATATGTTTTAGCAATAGTATCACCTCTACCATCTTTAAGAAGAATCTCATAAAAATATGTTTTTGGATCTAAATTTGATTCAAATTGGAATGTATCAGCTGACAATACACTATTTGGTTTCTAAAATATAATTAATCAATTTTAAAATATTTTTTTGTTTTACATGTATTAAGGAAGAGTAATTACAACAGAAATAGTTTTAGCTGCATATATTTTTGTTGGAGCTAATGTATTATATAAGAAAGTATTCCGAATAATATTAAAGGTTAATGGTGACTTTATATCTTATAACAGCTATCTCTTATAACTGTTATTTCAACATCATTTGTACTTTTATTTGAATGTGCTATTATTGATATTGGTTTCATAAATTCTTTAGCCCAATAATGAAGAATCTAAAAATAATTAATATTAATTTTTTTTTATTAAAATTTAAATAACAAAAGACTTAAATTATTGAATTGTAAAACTTAGTTAGTATATTTTATTTTTTTTACCTTATAATTTCCATTAAAATTAATACTAGACCATGATGGTGCTATCCAAACATCATTTAATTGGCAATATAATGCACCCATTGTATTATGTTTACTATTACGATTTTTACGAAGAATTTCAGTTTCTAATTTTGTAGCTAAAGCTTGTGTAAGTTGACTAAAGTATATAATATTTTCAGCATAATCTGGTTGATCTGATGTTATTAATGGTAATTGTCGGAATATTAAACATGATCTTATTTCATTCCCAAATGGTAAATGTTGACGATGTTCTAATAAATCATTGAAATTATCATGATTATACATAATTTTATCCCATGCAGATTTTTGTGGTAATGATTGAAAACCATATTCTGAGGAAAATCTTGGTATTGGATATACGTCTGGATCAGACCAATCACGAAAATATTTATAGAAATGTACTAAAAAAAAACAATAATTACAAAAAAATTTTTATAACAATTGTGATAAATTATTTTTATTAAAATTTTTTTGGAAAATTTTAAGGTTACATCAGAATCATATTTTTTTCTAAATAATAATGGAGATCGAATATTATTGTAAAAGAGCGAGAGTAATAAAGTTTTCTAATAAAATCTTAAAAAATTTGTGATGCTATGGATTTCTTTGAGTAACAATTGAAATAAATATATTCTAAAATGAATGAAAATTAATTCGAGAAAAATTTTGGACCCAAAAGATTTTCAAAAACCAAATTGAAATAAAACTGAATATTTTTATTAACATATACCTTACTGTCACCATAATTTGGATCTTGTGGCTGTGGTGATATAAAATCATCTTCAATAGTATCACAATTTGATGGTGATGATGTTAATGGATCTGGTCTTGATGGATGCTTATAAAATTTTCTTAACTTATCGTTGATTGTTGCATTATATAAAAGCCGATGTTCTTTTTCAAAACGTTTCTGCTCAGGTTTTGTATTGTACCTTTAAATTTTATAATATAAATTATGTCGAATAAATTTTATTTTAATATTTCAAAATAAATTTAACAATTTAAAGTGTAAATCTTAATATTAAATTTCTTACCAATTTTGTACTAATGCAGCTTCATTTTCATTATTACCAGCAATTATTGCTATACTTGCATGATGAGCTATACGTTTAATATTTTGTACAGTTTCTGTTCTTATCGATCTACAAAGTATAAGTGTATGTTAATTCGTATGGCTGACGAACAGAATGTGAAATTTACAAGTATTACAACCGTTTACATATTTACATTTCACTATATTTACAATAAAAATAAAAAAACAATGCCGGTTCATAAAATTTTTAATTGTTATTAAAATATGATTCATATTTGTTATTAAAAGTTGTTGTTGTTCCAAGTTTATTCTACAATATAAAAATAATAATATTAAAATTAAAGAGTGATCACTTATACTAGAAAATATACTTACATATATATATGTATTAATATTCAAAGTTTGGAAATGTTCAAAAAGCAAATTGTTCTAAAGTGCTCAATAGAAGTTTCTGTTTACACCTGTGTTAAACAAATATGTGTATATATATACATATATGTATATAGATACAGATTTTAAGAGAAATTTAAAAAATAATATATGTAATATTTCAACAAAGATTGTAGAAAATTCTCATTAACATTTTATTAAAATTTTTATTGTTGTACAGCTTCCGAGAATTTATCCGATTTATGAAGAAGTCCAGTTAACTATTGCAAGTGATGATTAATTTCAAAATTTGGATAGAATTATTTATGGCTCGTATAGTGTGAATTAGTACACTTTCTTTGAATTAACGTTATGATTCAACAAAGTGGTAAACAATAAATTCTAAAAAGTAAACAATATTACTGGTGTGGCAAACTGCGACTCCCGAGTCAAATGATAAGTATACCCAAGTTCTATTTTAACTTCTGTGTTAATACATTTTAAAAAATTTTACTGAAAAAGTTAAATTAAGTTACTGAAAAATAAATGGAAATTATTTAATATAAAAATTTAATTCCATTTTAGTTAAGAATGATATGAAAGTTAAGAATGATAACTTTTTAATACAATTTAAATTTTGGCTCTCGAAAAATTTCAAATTTTTAAATATGGCTTGAATTAACGAAGAGCTTGACCACCCCTCATATAATAAATTTTAATAAATCTCTGCGAATATGATATTTTTGCTTATCTTTTTAAATTTAACTAAAGTATTTTTGTTGTGACCAAGTCCAATAAATCCAAAATTAATTATATTTTTTGAAATTCTTTTTATATTATAGGCATGTGTGTATCAATACTGAGTAGTCAGATACTAGAGAGCATTTACAACGTATTGCTTCTTCATTTTTGGCAAAGAACGACAAATAGCAGCCATAAAATCGTAATTTAAACTCTTGATGTCGTATCTAAAGTTAGCGTACCTAAAATAAATGCAAGTTTTAAAATGTATTAAAGTCTAGCTAAAGAATTTTATTAAGCATAGCGTATTTAATAGAGAATTCCCTCTTAATTTAGTAACACTTTTCAAATAATCTGTTTATTAATTATGTAGTTTTTTTACATGTTATTTCTTCATAATTATACTGCATCCTCATTTAAAGCACATTGAACTAAAATAGAAACTTTTCTAATACATAAACTTGCCTATAGTTATAGAAAATCTTACATCTGTAAACGAATTCCATAAATTATTTTTAGAAACTATTCCAATTTGATCAATTGTATTAAATGGTGTTGAATCTAGAATATTACCTTCACCAAAAAGAATACAATCTTCATGAAATTTAATTGTTTTACTCCAATATTCTTCATAATTTTCATCATTATTTTCAATCACTTCTCTCATTGGAATAATTTCAACTTGAAGACGATGCCATTCCCCATCATAAATCTATAAAATTTATTGAATTATTATTTTCAAAATAATGATAAAATTTTTATTAAATTTTCAATATTATTAGTATTATTTGTTGTATTTAATACTGCTCTTGTATGTTTATATCCTGAATTTGATTTGGCAATATAAGTTAAAATTTTTCCTGAATTAAAATTAACCGATTGAATTATTTCGGTATTAATATTTTTAAATTTAGATAGACACATTTGACTCTCAATATGTCCAATGTGGCGAAAAATGATTTCAAAATAAAAGTTTCTTAAATCTTCTTTATTTGTAAATGATTTTGGTATATGAAAATATCGTTCAATAGGATAATGAAAACGATAAAAATGATTATTTGTATGAGGGACAGAAAAACATCCAATTCGACGGTATTTTCGACCAAAAATTTCCAACAAATCAAATGGGGATGTTGCGTTTTTGTGTAATGTTGTTAAATCAGGGCATCTTTCTTCAGTTATACGGCTATAATTCGGTCCCGCGCATGTAATTCGGTTCTAAAAAAATCTACATAAAGTTACAAATAAAAATTAAATATGTTTTTAAATTAAGGTTCTATAACTAAGGTGATTTTCGAGTCCACAGGGTTTGCGATATAATTTTGACTTTATTATTTAGTTTTTGTTGGGGCTTGAATAGCTCAATTTTTGGCAGAGAATGTTGCAATTTCACATAAAATTTAAGAAAAAATTTTTATTATTGTGGTCCTATGTTTTTCTTCAGGGTTACAAATACAATTAAAAAAATTTAAGACCGTTTTAGATACATTCTTTTAAGACTATATTAGGAACATTCTTGTTATCCTTTTTTTGAGGAAATAGTTTTATATAGTGAGAAAGTAAGAATGTTATCAAATTGTTAGAAAATGTAATTTTAAAAAATATACAATACAATAAAAAAAAAAGAAATTGTAAAACTTCGTACATATTTGTGCTTCTTAATCACAACCAATTTTTGTTATAAGCATGAACCATTATGTATGCAAATAATTCGTCACTATAATAATAATTTTCCATAAGTTTCTATAGCTTGCTTACAGACTGAATTAGGTAGATATTTTATGCTAAAATTTAAAAATTAAAAATTTCATCTAAAAATTTGTTTAAAACCGATCGAAACCAATGTACTAATACAGCAAAATCAAAGAAAGGTGTTCTTTAGACAGAGGTTTGAAAAATAGGTCGAAAATACAGCAGTTTACCTTAATTCCAAATTCTCAGCTTTGTTAATTTGAATTTTTCCATTTTTTCTATAAAAATTTCAAACTCCGTGTACATTACATGTCTCCTTTTCCGTATTAAAAATGTTTTTGATTTGAAAATTGATTCCAGATGAAAATTTCATAATATTCTGGTTATTGTTAAAAAAAGTTCATTTAAACATTTCGAAATTTTCATTGTTCTTGTTATTTTCAGCTTTACGGTAAACGCTAATTGAATTAATTTTTTCTTAATAAATTTCCTTAGACTCCTTAATGTGCATATTTAAGTAATTTTAGCCATTTTGTTATCCGTTTTAAAATTTTAATTCAATTCTAATTCCTTATATATTTTTCTCTTCATAATGTTTTGATTTTAAATTGACAGCAATTTTTCAAAAAAATTTGTCTTGAGTTCGAATCCAAATTTTACCATTTTCTAAAAAAAAAATTTTAATAATATTTTCATTTTGAATTGAAAATGAAAAAAGAAAAATTTTATCCTCGTGAATATTTAAAAAATAAAAATATTTTTGAAAAAAATATATGTATAATATAATTTGGTGGTTTATATTAAGAGTTAGTTCCTATATATTTTGTGTGAATGTTGTTGAGTTTGTTAGTTGTTGTGTGAATGTGTTATTAGATTAAGTTAAAAGTTTTCAAAACATTTCCTAGACTTAGATTTTTAGAATTGCAGTACGACCGCGAGGCTTAAGGGTAGTCACTGGTAAATTTTTAGACCGGACTTAGGTCTGGATCCGTCAAAATTTTGACATTTTTTGTGTTTATACAAAAAAAATATGCTTGAGTTCAAATTCAATTTTTACCATTTTTATAAGAAAATTTTTTTTTTGTTTGCATGAAATAATAAATTTTCAAATATAATAAAGTTTCATGTAAATAGACAGAATTTTCTTTCTAAGTACTTTACTATCTTTAAATATGTTTTGGGGAGCCTAAAACAACGGCTTTCTAATTGATATTCCTCTTCATTGTGATATTTTCAAATTTCGAAGTTGAGTGTGTTTAGAGTTTGAAAAATTTGAATTTTTAATTTTTAAAAAAATTTTTGTTAGTTTTTCAATTAATTGACGTAATTTTGCAATTTTCTCTAGTTTCTAAACTAAACTTTAATATGGTAAACTTCAAGCTGTTATGATTCGGGTGTTATTCAGAAAATTAACGTATTTAGTATTTTTTTATAAATATATTTATTTACGTACTATGTACGTTTGGATTGCAGATTGAATCGAATTTTTAATATAATGAATTGCTACATTAAGCAATAAAATTTTTATTTGAGCAATCAAATCCAATATCAATTTTACGCTAATAAAGGTAATTTAAAAATACAAGAGATTATAATAATTAAAAGTTTCGGATACACAATTTAAAAAAGTACAATAGGAATTTTTTGGATACATAATTTTAATCATTAAAAAAGAAATTTTCTCATAATAAATATTTAATACAATTTTGTACAAAGCAAAAAATCTCTATTTTTTACATCTTTCTGGTAGTTCTTCAGTTGTTGGATAATTTTCATTCATATATTGATTTACTGTATAAATTTTAATATGTTCTGTTGATATTTTATAATCATTTCTACATTCTAAATAAATCATTTTAATTGGATCAGTTTAAATAAAACCATTATTGATAATGTATAACTTGTAATATTATCATGTACAATTTCTATGTAAACGAATAATGCTGGATAACTAACTTTAACACTAATACTAATACTTGAAATTGGAGCCTGATATTTGCTTGTATAAATTTCCACCTGTTTTTTTTTGGTTAAATGAAAAATTAAGTAATTTATTAACTAAGTATTATTCTAAAATTATAAATTTTAGAATAAATAGGTTGAGGAAAATGATATGTTTTAGCAATAGTATCACCTCTACCATCTTTAAGAAGAATCTCATAAAAATATGTTTTTGGATCTAAATTTGATTCAAGTTGGAATGTATCAGCTGACAATACACTATTTGGTTTCTAAAATATAATTAATCAATTTTAAAATATTTTTTTGTTTTACATGTATTAAGGAAGAGTAATTACAATAGAAATAGTTTTGGCTGCATATATTTTTGTTGGAGCTAATGTATTATATAAGAAAGTATTCCGAATAATATTAAAGGTTAATGGTGACTTTTCGATGGTATCTCTTATAACTGTTATTTCAACATCATTTGTACTTTTATTTGAATGTGCTATTATTGATATTGGTTTCATAAATTCTTTAGCCCAATAATGAAGAAACTAAAAATAATTAATATTAATTTTTTTTATTAAAATTTAAATAACAAAAGATTTAAATTATTGAATTGTAAAACTTAGTTAGTATATTTTATTTTTTTTACCTTATAATTTCCATTAAAATCAATACTAGACCATGATGGTGCTATCCAAACATCATTTAATTGGCAATATAATGCACCCATTCTATTATGTTTACTATTACGATTTTTACGAAGAATTTCAGTTTCTAATTTTGTAGCTAAAGCTTGTGTAAGTTGCCTAAGGCATGTAATATTTTCAGCATAATCTGGTTGATCTGATGTTATTAATGGTAATTGTCGGAACATTAAACATGATCTTATTTCATTACCAAATGGTAAATGTTGACGATGTTCTAATAAATCATTGAAATTATCATAATTATACATAATTTTATCTCATGCAGATTTTTGTGGTAATGATTGAAAAGCATATTCTGATGAAAATCTTGGTATTGGATATACGTCTGGATCAGACCAATCACGAAAATATTCATAGAAATGTACTAAAAAAAAACAATAATTACAAAAAATTTTTTATAACAATTGTGATAAATTATTTTTATTAAAATTTTTTTAGAAAATTTTAAGGTTACATCAGAATCATATTTTTTTCTAAATAATAATGGAGATCGAATATTATTGTAAAAGAGCGAGAGTAATAAAGTTTTCTAATAAAATCTTAAAAAATTGGTGATGCTATGGATTTCTTTGAGTAACAATTGAAATAAATAAATTCTAAAATGAATGAAAATTAATTCGAGAAAAATTTTGGACCCAAAAGATTTTCAAAAACCAAATTGAAATAAAACTGAATATTTTTATTAACATATACCTTACTGTCACCATAATTTGGATCTTGTGGCTGTGGTGATATAAAATCATCTTCAATAGTTTTATCGCAATTTGATGGTTATGATGTTAATGGATCTGGTCTTGATGGATGATTATAAAATTTTTTTAACTCATCGTTGATTGTTGTATTATATAAAAGCCGATATTCTTTTTCAAAACGTTTCTGCTCAGGTTTTGTATTGTACCTTTAAATTTTGTAATATAAATTATGTCGAATAAATTTTATTTTAATATTTCAAAATAAATTTAACAATTTAAAGTGTAAATCTTAAAATTAAACTTCTTACCAATTTTGTACTAATGCAGCTTCATTTTCATTATTACCAGCAGTTATTGCTATACTTGCATGATGAGCTATACGTTTAATATTTTGTACAGTTTCTGTTCTTATCGATCTACAAAGTATAAGTGTATGTTAATTCGTATGGCTGACGAACAGAATGTGAAATTTACAAGTATTACAACCGTTTACATATTTACATTTAACTATATTTACAATAAAAATAAAAAAACAATGCCGGTTCATAAAATTTTTAATTGTTATTAAAATATGATTCATATTTGTTATTAAAAGTTGTTGTTGTTCCAAGTTTATTCTACAATATAAAAATAATAATATTAAAATTAAAGACTGATCACTTATACTAGAAAATATACTTACATATATATATGTATTAATATTCAAAGTTTGGAAATGTTTAAAAAGCAAATTGATCTAAATTGCTCAATGGAAGTTTCTGTTTACACCTGTGTTAAACAAATATGTGTATATATATACATACATATATGTATATAGTTACAGATTTTAAGAGAAATTTAAAAAATAATATATGTATGTATAAAATTTCAGTTTCAACAATGATTGTAGAAAATTCTCATTAACATTTTATTAAAATTTTTATTGTTGTACAGCTTCCGAGAATTTATCCGATTTATGAAGAAGTCCAGTTAACTATTGCAAGTGATGATTAATTTCAAAATTTGGACAGAATTATTTATGGCTGGTATAGTGTGAATTAGTACACTTTCTTTGAATTAACGTTATGATTCAACAAAGTGGTAAACAATAAATTCTAAAAAGTAAACAATATTACTGGTGTGGCAAACTGCGACTCCCGAGTCAAAAGATAAATATACCCAAGTTCTATTTTAACTTCTGTGTTAATATATTTTAAAAAATTTTACTGAAAATGTTAAATTAAGTTACTGAAAAATAAATGGAAATTATTTAATATAAAAACTTAATTCCATTTTAGTTAAGAATGATAACTTTTTAATACAATTTAAATTTTGGCTCTCGAAAAATTTCAAATTTTTAAATATGGCTTGAATTAACGAAGAGCTTGACCACCCCTCATATAATAAATTTTAATAAATCTCTGCGAATATGATATTTTTGCTTATCTTTTTAAATTTAACTAAAGTATTTTTGTTGTGACCAAGTCCAATAAATCCAAAATCATTAATTATATTTTTTGAAATTCTTTTTATATTATAGGCATGTGTGTATCAATACTGAGTAGTCAGATACTAGAGAGCATTTACAACGTATTGCTTCTTAATTTTTGGCAAAGAACGACAAATAACAGCCATAAAATCGTAATTTAAACTCTTGATGTCGTACCTAAAGTTAGCGTACCTAAAATAAATGCAAGTTTTAAAATGTATTAAAGTCTAGCTAAAGAATTTTATTAAGCATAGCGTATTTAATAGAGAATTCCTTCTTAATTTAGTAACACTTTTCAAGTAATCTGTTTATTAATTATGTAGTTTTTTACATGTTATTTCTCATTTAAAGCACATTGAACTAAAATAGAAACTTTTCTAATACATAAACTTGCCTATAGTTATAGAAAATCTTACATCTGTAAACGAATTCTTTAAATTTTTTTTAAAAAATATTCCAATTTGATCAATTGTATTAAATGGTGTTGAATCTAGAATATTACCTTCACCAAAAAGAATACAATCTTCATGAAATTTAATTGTTTTACTCCAATATTCTTCATAATTTTCATTATTATTTTCAATCACTTCTCTCATTGGAATAATTTCAACTTGAAGACGATGCCATTCCCCATCATAAATCTGTAAAATTTATTGAATTATTATTTTCAAAATAATGATAAAATTTTTATTAAATTTTCAAAATTATTAGTATCATTTGTTGTATTTAATACTGCTCTTGTATGTTTATATCCTGAATTTGATTTGGCAATATAAGTTAAACTTTTTCCTAAATTAATGTTAATCGATTGAATTATTTCGGTATTAAGATTTTTAAATTATAATAGACACATTTGACTCTCAATAAGTCCAATGTGTCGAAAAATGATTTCAAAATAAAAGTTTCTTAAATCTTCTTTATTTGTAAATGATTTTGGTATATGAAAATATCGTTCAATAGGATAATGAAAACGATAAAAATGATTATTTGTGTGAGGGACAGAAAAACATCCAATTCGACGGTATTTTCGACCAAAAATTTCCAACAAATCAGATGGGGATATTGCACTTTTGTGTAATGTTGTTAAATCAGGGCATCTTTCTTCAGTCATACGGCTATAATTCGGTCTCGCGCATATAATTCGGTTCTAAAAAAATCTACATAAAGTTACAAATAAAAATTAAATATGTTTTTAAATAAATGTTCCATAACTAAGGTGATTTTCGAGTCCACAGCGCTTCCGATATAATTTTGACTTTATTATTTAGTTTTTGTTGGGGCATGAATAGTTCAATTTTTTGCAGAGAATGTTGTAATTTCACATAAAATTTAAGAAAAAATTTTTATTATTGTGGTCCTATGTTTTTCTTCAGGGTTACAAATACAATTAAAAAAATTTAAGACCGTTTTAGGTACATTCTTTTAAGACTATGTTAGGAACATTCTTGTTATCCTTTTTGTGAGGAAATAGTTTTATATAGTGAGAAAGTAAGAATGTTATCGAATTGTTAGAAAATGTAATTTTAAAAAATATACAATAAAAAAAAAAAGAAATTGTAAAACTTCGTGCATATTTGTGCTTCTTAATCGCAACCAATTTTTGTTATAAGCATGAACCATTATGTATGCAAATAATTCGTCACTATAATAATAATTTTCCATAAGTTTCTATAGCTTGCTTACAGACTGAATTAGGTAGATATTTTATGCTAAAATTTAAAAATTAAAAATTTTATCTAAAAATTTGTTTAAAACCGATCGAAACCAATGTACTAATACAGCAAAATCAAAGAAAGGTATTCTTTAGACAGAGGTTTGAAAAATAGGTCGAAAATACAGCTGTTTACCTTTTTGGAATTAAATTCTCAGCTTTGTTAATTTGAATTTTTCCATTTTTTCTATAAAAAATTCAAACTCCGTGTACACTACATGTCTCCTTTTTCGTATTAAAAATGTTTTTGATTTGAAAAATTGATTCCAGATGAAAATTTCATAATATTCTGGTTATTGTTAAAAAAAGTTCATTTAAACATTTCGAAATTTTCATTGTTCTTGTTATTTTCAGCTTTATGGTAAACGCTCATTGGATTCATTTTTTCTTAATAAATTTCCTTAGACTCCTTAATGTGCATATTTAAGTAATTTTAGCCATTTTCTTATCCGTTTTAAAATTTTAATTCAATTCTAATTCCTTATATATTTTTCTCTTCATAATGTTTTGATTTTATATTGACAGCAATTTTTCAAAAAAATTTGTCTTGAGTTCGAATCCAAATTTTACCATTTTCTAAAAAAAAAATTTTAATAATATTTTCATTTTGAATTGAAAATGAAAAAAGAAAAATTTTATCCTCGTGAATATTTAAAAAATAAAAATATTTTTGAAAAAAATATATGTATACTATAATTTGGTGGTTTATATTAAGAGTTAGTTCCTATATATTTTGTGTGAATGTTGTTGAGTTTGTTAGTTGTTGTGTGAATGTGTTATTAGATTAAGTTAAAAGTTTTCAAAACATTTCCTAGACTTAGATTTTTAGAATTGCAGTACGACCGCGAGGCTTAAGGGTAGTCACTGGTAAATTTTTAGACCGGACTTAGGTCTGGATTCGTCAAAATTTTGACATTTTTTGTGTTTACACAAAAGAAATATGCTTGAGTTCAAATTCAATTTTTACCATTTTTATAAGAAAATTTTTTTTTTTGTTTGCATGAAATAATAAATTTTAAAATATAATAAAGTTTCATGTAAATACACAGAATTTTCTTTCTAAGTACTTTACTATCTTTAAATATGTTTTGGGGAGCCTAAAACAACGGCTTTCTAATTGATATTCCTCTTCATTGTGATATTCTCAAATTTCGAAGTTGCGTGTGTTTAGAGTTTAAAAAATTCCAATTTTTAATTTTTAAAAAAATTTTTGTTAGTTTTTCAATTAATTGACGTAATTTTGCAATTTTCTTTAGTTTCTAAACTAAACTTTAATATGGTAAACTTCAAGCTGTTGTGATTCGGGTGTTATTCACAAAATTAACGTATTTAGTATTTTTTTATAAATATATTTATTTACGTACTATGTACGTTTGG